GAGACCATCCTGGTCAACATGGTGAAACCTTGTCTCTACTAAAAATACAAAAAATTAGCTGGGCGTGGTGGTGCGTACCTGTAATCCCAGCTACTCAGAAGGCTGAGGCAGGAGAATTGCCTGAACCCAGGAGGCGGAGGTTGCGGTGAGCCGAGATCATGCCATTGCACTCCAGCCTGGGTAACAAAAGCAAAACTCCGTCTCAGAAAAAAAAGAGCCAGGCGCTGTAGCTCACGCCTGTAATCCTAGCACTTTGGGAGGCTGAGGTGGGCAGATCACGAGGTCAAGCGATCAAGACCATCCTGTCTAACATGGTGAAACCCCGTCTATGAAAAAAAAAAAATAGTGAAAAAAAAAAAGAAATGGTAGTATACACTACATATGTTGTTTTACACCTTGCTTAACTTTTTGTTTGAGATAGGGTCTCACTTTGTCACCCAGGCTGGAGTGCAGTGGTGTGATCTCAGTTCACTGCAACCTCTGCCACCCAGGCTCAAGCGATTCTCCTGCCTCAGCCTCCCTAGTAGCTGGGACTACAGGTGCCCGTCACCACACCTGGCTAGTTTTTATATTTTTAGTAGAGATGAGGTTTCACCACGTTGGCCAAGCTGGTCTCAAACTCCTGACCTCAAGTAATCTGCCCCCCTCGGCCTCCCAAAGTGGCGGGATTACAGGCATGAGCCACTGCACCTGGCCTATACCTTGCTTAACTTTGTAACCTTGGCAATTGTTCCATGTTAGTATTTGTAGAGCTTTCTCATTCTTCTCAAAAGTTGGAGAATATTCCATTTTATGAGTGTTCATAATGCCTAACCTGTCCTCTACTGATGGACATTTTCAATTTTTCCAATCTTTAGCCTTTATAAACAGTGCTGTAGTATCTATATACCTATGTCATTGAGGCATTTGGAATATATCTGTAAGATAAATTTCAGGAATGGAATTGTGTGCTAAAGGATAGGTACACTACACTTTAAAATTTTGTTAGATGTTGCTAAATTTTGCCAATTCCTATTCCTGTGACTGATATATGTGAACACATTTCTCTACATACTTGTCAATACCGTGTTAACAGTTTTGATTTTGCCCACCTGATAGTGAAATACATCTCATTGCAGTTCATATGGGTGAGCATTTCATAGGCTAAAAACTGATTTATTTTTCTTTTTATCCGAGCTGTCTGTTCATGTCCTTTGTCCAGTCTCCTGTTTGTATTATCCATTAAGGAAATTAGCCTGTCTATGATGTCTGGCAAATATTTTTTTCCAGGTTTGTCCTTTGTGGATAAATTAAGAACAGCCAGCAGTTTTCTTAAGACCTTGAGCCGTGCTGTTCGGGGACATGGAGAGCCAGTCCCTTGGGTGAACTGTCTCTCCATGTAGGCCCCGGGAAGCAAGCATTTTCCCTCCCTGATGTGATGGATCAGGGAAGACTCAAGGCTGAATTCTGTGTGCAGTTGACCTAAGGGAAGTTGTGAGCTGTCACCTCCAGACTGACATGTCTCTGGATAGTGTAGATGGGTCTCTGTCTTCAAGAAGGTCCCAGTCTTTTACAGGAGATAGGAAATGGCCTCATAATATAAAGAGCCCTACAAAAGGGTTCCTCCCCCCGTTAAGTTTTTTAAAGATTTTTTTTAGATGGTATGATCTCAGCTCACTGCAGCCTCCACCTCTCCAGGCTCAACTGATCCTCCTACCTCAGCCTCCTGAATAGCTGGGACTACAGATGTGTGCCAGTGCACCTGGTTAATTTTTGTATTTTTTGTAGAAACAGGGTTGCCCAGGTTGGTCTTGAACTCCTGGGCTCAAGTGATCTGCCCGCCTCAGCCTCTCAATGTGTTGAGAAATCTCTTTGTGGCTGGATGTGGTGGCTCACACCTATAATCCCAGCACTTTAGGAGGCCAATGCAGGCAAATCATAAGGTCAGGAGTTCAAAACCAGCCTGGCCAACATGGTGAAACCCCATCTCTACTAAAAATACAAAAAATTAGCAGGTTGTGGTGGTGGGCGCCTGTAATCCCAGCTACTCAGGATGCTGAGGCAAGAGAATCACTTGAACTTGGGAGGAGGAGGTTGCAGTGAGCTGAGATTGCACCACTGCACTCCAGCCTGGGCGACAGTGGGAGACTCCATCTCAAAATAAATAAATAAATAAATCTCTTTGTAAAAAGAGAACACCTGTTTGTCTGTTTTCACATAGGGAGCTGAGCACATAACAACTTACACATTCAATACGCACAAAGCCCAGCACACCTTCTGTAAGAGATGTGGCGTTCAGAGCTTCTATACTCCACGCTCCAACCCCGGAGGCTTCGGTGAGTAAAGGGGATGGACTGCAAGCTCACGGGGACACAGAGAGACAGAGAGGCCCATGGTGCTCTCACTTAAAGTCTTGGTTGGACAGGTGGGACACTGACTAGACCCTGTCACATGCGTTTCTTAGAGGAACAGGGCTCCTCAGCAGAACACTTTCCACATGATGGAGTGTGAGTTGGGCTCTGGTGAAGCCTGTCTGAATTCCCATCTTAATGTGGTGAAGCTGGACTCGGAGGCCATCCAGGTTGTGATTCTCATTCACCAGTGCTGCCAGAGCTGGTGTTGCTGGGGATGGTGTTGAAGGTAGGGAGTAGAGGGGTGGGCAGATGGGCTGGTGGGGCCAGGGAAGGCAACTTTAATAATGACAGGGGTTAAGGGAGTGAAGGAGGCAAGATCGGGGAGCATTGATAATGCCATTTAAAAGCTTTTTAGTTGTTCAAAAAACTAGCAGGACTGGCTGGTCACAGTGGCTCACACCTGTATCCCAGCACTTTGGGAGGCCAAGGTGGGAAGATTGAGCTCAGGAGTTTGAGACCAGCCTGGGAAACATAGCAAGACCCCATCTCTGTTCTTTTTAACAAATAATAATAAACATCTAAAAATACAGTCAGCCAGGCGTGGTGGTACATGGCTGTAATCCCACCAACTTGGGAGTCTGCGGCAGGAGAACTGCTTGAATCCGGGAGGTGGTGAGCCAAGATCATGCCATTGCACTCCAGCCTGGGCGATAAGAGCAAAGAAATGCCATCTCAAAAAAGAAAGTTATCTATCTAAACACAAGAAAGGCCTATGAATTCTTTAGGCTGCCAGTCAGAGATTGCTCGGGCTGCTCTTTTCTGCACGTTGCACTCAACTTGGTATTGAATGATGTCTAGCATTGGCCATCCCTGGTTCAAGGAGTGTGATTCCCATCTGGCAGTTGAGGAAAGTGAGCTAGAGGACTGAAGCTGCAGGCTGGAGCCAGTGCATTCCGAGCCAGCCGGCAGCCTGTGGGCCTCATCGTTGAAGCCATAAGCTGTGGCATATCCTTTGGAAGCCCTAATGTGTAGCATGATGATGCCTGCAGGTGGGGGCTCATCCAAGAGCTAGTATTGCATCTGGTCTCACTCATACTGGGGATCCCCCTTTGTCTGTGCCACTTTCTCCTAGGAATCGCCCCCCACTGCCTGGATGAGGGCACTGTGCAGAGTATGGTCACAGAGGAATTCAATGGCAGCGATTGGGAGAAGGCCATGAAGGAGCACAAGACCATCAAGAACATGTCTAAAGAGTGAGCTTCTGCCTCTCCTGTCCTGAAAAGGAGGAATGATTGGGGCCAGCAACTTTGCTTTTCCTGCCGCACCTCGGTGGTGCTCCTGAATGTCGCTGACCTGGAATGCTGGTTCCGTTCACCAGGGCCATCTTGATCTCTGCAGTTTGCTCCAGCTACCAGTTTCTTTAGGCAGCTCTTTGTCCTCCCTCTGCCCGAATTTTGATGTAGTCTAGTTGACATCCTTCTCTTCTCAACTTTTGTGTGATCTTTTAGGAAAAAAAATAAAATATTTTTAACATCAAAGCAGTTACTGTGGTTTATCATTTCTTTTGTACTGTGATTTGCTTCTGAGACCAGTCAATTAATAGCAGATATGTACTCAGCGCTATCAAGATTTTTGCAACCAGGCATCTTGGCTTAAGCCTATAGTCCCAGCTATTCTGGAGGGTTGATTGGGCCCAGGAGGTTGAGGTTGCAGTGAACTGTGTTTGCATTACTGCACTCCAGTCTGGGTGACAGAATGAGACTATCTCAAAAAAAAGAAAAAAAAATTTGTAGCCAAATTGGAAAGAAGACATAAGACAAACAATTAAAAATGGAAGGTTGGCCAGGCACAGTGGCTCACGCCTGTAATCCCAGCACTTTGGGAAGCCAAGGTGGGCAGATCACGAGGTCAAGAGATCGAGACCATCCTGGCGAACGTGGTGAAACCCCGTCTCTACTAAAAATACAAAAATTAGCTGGGCACGGTGGCATGTGCCTGTAGCTGGCATGTCCCAGCTACTTGGGAGGCTGAGGCAGGAAAATTGCTTGAACCCGGGAGGTGGAGGTTGCAGTGAGCCGAGATTGCACCACTGCACTCCAGCCTGGTGCCTGGTGACAGAGTGAGACTGTCTTAAAAAAAAAAAAAATGAAAGGTTATGGCCATGCATGGTGGTTCACTCTAATTCCAGCATTTTGGGAGGCTGAGGCGGGTGGTTTACTTGAGGTCAGGAGTTCAAGATCAGCCTGGCCAATGTGGTGAGACCCCGCCTCTTCTAAAATTGCAAAACCGCCAGACGTGGTGGCTCAAGCCTGTAATCCCAGCACTTTGGGAGGCTGAGGGGGGTGGATCACGAGGTCAATAGATCGAGACCATCCTGGTCAACATGGTGAAACCCCGTCTCTACTAAAAATACAAAACATTAGCTGGGCACGGTGGCGTGTGCCTGTAATCCCAGCTACGCAGGAGGATGAGGCAGGAGAAGTGCCTGAACCCAGGAGGCAGAGGTTGCAGTGAGCTGAGATCGTGCCATTGCATTCCAACCTGGGTAACAAGAGTGAAACTCCGTCTCAAAAAATAAATAAATTAAAATAAAATAAAATTGCAAAACTTAGCTGGGCATGGTGGTGCGTGCCTATAGTCCCAGCTACTTGGGAGGCTGAGGCAGGAGAATCACTTAAACCCGAGAGGCAGAGGTTGCAGTGAGCTGAGGTTGCACCAGTGCACTCTGGCCTGGGTCACAGAGACTCCATCTCAAAAAAAAAAAAAAAAAAAAAAAAAAATATATATATATATATATATATATATATATACACACACATACATATATATACATATATATGTATATATACACATATATACATATATATTTGATTGTGAATGTTACAATCCATGTGAGCTTTAAAGATAATAAGAGCTCTAGGAGTTCAGAGAATGCGGAAGCCTTGAGAGTATGAGTTGAATCTATCTATCTTTAAAAAGTGAAATCAGCTTCTAATTTATTTTTTTAAATTTTAATATTTTATAAAGACAGGATTTCACCATGTTGGTCAGGCTGGTTGTGAACTCCCAACCTCAGTTGATCCACCTGCCTTGGCCTCCAAAGTGCTTGGATTACAGGCGTGAGCCACCACGCCCGGCCCTAATTTCTTTTAAGTTGTAAAGTAGACATAAAATTTACCATCAACTGCTAATTTATTTAGAGATAGAGTCTCCCTACTTATTTTGAGACGGCCTTGCTGTGTCACCCAGGCTGGAATGCAGTCCATGAACATGGCTCACTGTAGCCTTGACTTGGACTTGAGATCCCCCACCTTAGCTTCTGGAGTAGCTGGGACTACAGATGTGTGCCACCACACCTGGCTAATATTTTTCATAGAGACAAGGTCACTCCATGTTCAGACTGGTCTCAAACTCCTGGGCTCAAGCGGTCCTCGTGCCTCGGCCTCCCAAAGTGTTGTGATTATAGACATGTGCCACTGCACTCAGCCTTAGCCATTTTGAAGTATACAATTCAGCAGTGTTAAGTACAATCACATTGTTGTGCAACCATCACTGCCATCCATCTCCAGAACTCTTCATCTTGCAAAACTGAAATTCTGTACCCATGAAACAACTTTGATCCTATTTTTAAAGGAAGCAAGATTTAAGGTGACAGAGGGGAGGAGTGACTGAACAGACGTACACACATGCAAGCCATGCTGAAGCTGCATGTGGCGGCACGCACCTGTAGTCCCAGCTACTCAGGAAGCTGAGGACCGCATGAGCCCAGAAGTTTTGAGACTGCAGTGAGCTATAATGATGTCATGCATTCCACCCTGGGAGACACAGCCAGACCCCATCTCATTTAAAAAAATAATAATAATAAAATAAAGGGCTGGGTGTGGTGGCTTATGCCTGTAATCCTAGCACTTTGGAAGGCTGAGGCAGGCAGATCATGAGGTCACGAGATCAAGACCATCCTGGCCAATATGGTCAAAACTCCATCTCTACTAAAAATACAAAAATTAGTTGGGTGTGGTGGCAAGCACCTGTAATCCTAGCTACTCAGGAGGCTGAGGTGGGAGAAGCCCATGAACCTGGGAGTCGGAAGTTGCAGTGAGCCGAGATCACGCCTCTGCACTCCAGCCTGGCTACAGAGTGAGACTCCATCTCAAAA